CAGTTCATAGCTTATAAACGAAAGCTTCAGCAGATGGCAAGATGTGCACTTGTAGGACATGTAGCATTCTCTGTTTGCCATTATGTAAGTAATACAGAACTGCAGAAGGATATCCGCTTCTTCCTTCAACTGTCCTCTGAACCTCTCTTAGAAGAAGTCAGAGCATAGAAACAAGCCTGTTATCACGGGCTGCAGACCAGCAGTCACACACTGCACTTCACTAAAAGTGTCTTATTTCAGTTCCTCTTACTGTCTAATGAACTTTTAATATTTTCTCATTTTGACTACCTGTATTCACTAACAGTAGTTGCAGAGGGAAATACTGGATCAGCTTAAGAAAATTATAATAATAGGCCACACTCCATTACTGTTATTAATTGAGTTTGCCCATTGAGGGTTAACAGTTAAACCATTTCCGGCCTATATCTGAAAGAGATGAAGATAGCCTTTGAAAAGCAAATTAAAATAACTAACAAACTCAGCATATTCACTTATTTTGAATTATATTCTAGTTTATAGAGTTTTCTAATCACAGTCTACAGGTTTGGGCTGCTGAAAGAAAAAATAGTTAAACAGACAAGAATGTTTTTCAGATAGTTTATTGCATGAGCTTACAGTGCGGAATTGCTTATATGGACAGCCATAAATATGGCCCCTACAGTAATGCTGACTAAAAGCAATTTACTCATTTGAAGCTTATGAATGTAAAACTTCTGTTAAACAAAAAGCCAGGCTCAGGTTCAACAGGATTTAGTTTTGAGAGTAAACACATTAAAAGACTGATGCATTTTTAGTAAGAGGACCAGGATAGGGACCCGGCTGGGCCAGAAAGATGTTTTATGACAAGGTATTCAACCTGCCTGTGTCTCAGGTTTCCCAGGAAGACAAGGAAAACAAAAGTCTTTTTGCCCTTACACTGGACTGTGAAGCTTAACTCATAAAGAGTCTTATCCAAAGCCATTAAAGCCAATAGAAATCTCTCATTGACTTTAATGAGCTTTTGTTCAGGTCCTTTACAAGACAGCTGAAAGACTGCCATTGAATTCGAGCCCCAGTTTTGTAAAGCTCTTTCATATACTCAGCTTGGAGGCATTTGGAAACATAGAAATGTTGTAACAAGAGTATTACATTTACCAAATAAATCCTCATAACATGAAATGGAACTTTTTTTTTTTTTTTTTTTTAAAACTCTGAGAGTTAAATTTCAATGCATGTGTGTACATCCAGGAAAACATATATATCAGTTATTGTATACACTTATTAATAACTGTTTCTCAGATACCCTTACATGTTGGTTGCATAATCATCTCTGCACTGCTGGATGCCAACTCTACACATTTGAGCTGGACAAAGTACAGTTTATAATGACTTTTCCCTTGATTTAGCCAAAGTGTCAGATCCAAAATATAAATAGTCACTTTGCTTTTCACTCAGGTGTTATCCTGGCTGTGTAAACAAAGACAATAACTGACCTGGCACAAAGTTAACCCTTTAAAAACTTTAAGAAATTTGAAGCAGCTGAGGAGTTTTATACTTTATTTCTTTATATGTGTGTCTTGCATTTCTGATCTAAGAAAGAAGCAGCATTGCCAGGAACAGTAATGTTATATTTCCTATACTGTCAAACTACAGCCTCATAGCAAAAAGGTCCTTGAAAACAGGAAAATTACCAGAACTGAAAACAAAGTGGAGAAACTTTTAAAAGTGGTATCATAATTAGATAAGGTATTAATTATTACATTCCTGTAGTATGCCAATTAAGGAATGCCAAGCTAATATAATAAAATTTTGACTTCATACTACAAGCATTTGAAAATAGTAACAGCCAATTGAGTAGAAATCTCTTTTCTAGTCCAAGTAATCGAAATACATTTCCCACAATATGTAATCTTTTGTCCCCTTAAATAACAGTAAAAAAGTGCAAGTTATCTGAATATTTATTGCCTTCTATTCAAAAAAGCTATTTTCAGCAGTACGAATGGCTGACATGACATATTTCCAAACCTGAAACACAGCAGTATCAAAGCAATAGTATTATATAACACCTGTCAGTCTGTATTGCACAAAGCTTTTTTTTTTTTTTTAAAGACAATATAAAATAACCATGCACTACTTAATTTATTCCAATACTTTGGAAAGGTAATTAAGTTTTGATCACATAGAGAGACAGCACCATTTCTAATTCAGCACTACACACAGATGTTCTGTTATTTTTGTAATATCAGTTAAGGTATTAATTTTATTCAAAGACATGACTAAGAAAGGAAACATTAAACCCTTACAAATTTTAGTTAAAACATTTTCATTTTATTTACACACTTCAGGAAAATGTTTCTCTTTGTCTTAAAATTCCAATTTTAGTCCTATAAAAACCATGAAATAATAAGAGAGAATATAATTTATTTTATAATATTTCAATGAACTAAGTAAAGATAATTTAATCTGCCAAGGTTTTACATTTTAAAAATTCATATCTCTCCAAAGGTGCATCTAATTTAGAACTTGATTGGTATGTGGGGTTTTGCTTTATCAACCTAACACACTAGGCCATTACACATATTGTTATTCTCCAAGAGAAAAAATGATTCTAACATCTGTTCTCAATATGTTTTTTCCATAATTTCCTTTTATGTCCCATGTAACTCATTAAGCTCATCTATAAAACATTACTGTGTCTGACTGTGTACACTGTCTATATATGCCTTTCTACTATAAGATTGCATGAAAATTGAAAAACACTGTAGGCTACAACATAATCCACTTTAAAAGGATACTATTTTTACAGAATCTTTTGATCCAAGAAAATATACCTGGTTTTGCAAGTCAGAATTGTGACACATGTAACATATAACCTAATCTCTTAAGTGACCTATATTCTAACAAAATGAGAAAAATGGGTTCATGTCTTACTGTTGTGCAGTCTCTTCCTTATGACTGCTGCAGCTTTACGGGAGAGAAAGTGTTTAAGTTATAAAGAACATACCTTCTGAATGGTTTGAAGAAAGTGATTTTAATATTTCAACTCACTTGTGCAAGTAATCTCAAGAGTACAGCAGACAGAGGGATAGAAAGCGTCCCAGTAACCTAAAATCTAATATGTGTCTAGAACGGAAAAGAACTTGGAGTCTAGTGCATCTTTCTACATACACTTTTCATTTTCTTCTGCAGATGAAAAATTTCAGTATTTTACTATTCTCAAGCTAGTTTCCATCTCTATGATCTCTTCTGCCCCCTTTTGCCTGTATTCAGGGATTGCTGTTCGAATTTAATTTTAGAGGAAAATACCTATTTACACTGGACCTGCCCATAATGTGTTCATCAACACAAAACACAGGTCATTCTTCCTGCAGGAGCTAAAGAATTCACTGTCAGAAACTGTCTTACTAGCTCTCGAAAGGTGCCATTTCTGTAAAAAAAAGCAACACACTATCTGATGTTAGCTAGCAACTGATGACTAATGTGAGGTCAGAGCTTAGTGAAGGCGATTTTCTAATATTTATAAAGATCAGTGAACTGAGTAAAAAAATGAGGGCATTTAGACGTTACCCTACACGCTATCTTGTATGAAAGCTACACAGTGCTTACCTTGACGATTTTATCTTTATTAATTTCTGTGTGAGCTGCAGTAAATCTGAAAACAATGTCCACCTGCTAACGTCTCCTTATGCTCTGAGTCTACATTAGCAATACAATTGTAAGTGAAAAGAAGATTAGTGGCCTTATGACTAAGATTTATCTTGTGAACAGAGCATGAGACAGAAAAGGAAAAACCTACTAAGGGTGGAAAGAGATACCTGCACAGGATAGATTGAAATAAATCCTGATGGAAAGAACCTCTAAAACTAGATGTTAGGAATCCTAGAACATAGTAGCAGGAAAATAATAACTAAAAATAGCAGGAAATACAAGCACAAAAAAAAGTGAGACAAAGCAAAGGAAAGACAATGGCGTTACATACTCCAAACCAGACAGTAGGTCTTTTTTTGCACTTTTTCCTGAGAACAAATTATTTCAAGTTAATAATTGGGCTAAACTTCCAGAAGCCAGAAAACTCATAAGGTCCTTGCTGTAGTTAATCCAATTAGAGTCAGTGGGGCAACTTCTGTATGAAAAAGGTATGAAATGCACAAAATCTAGCCTTGAGAACTTCCCTGTGACAATCAGTGGGTTTTCTTTATAATATTAGAAGAGTATTCCCTCTTAAAGACGCATGTCAAAAACGTGCATACGGAGTAAGGCAAAAAGGATTTTTATTTCCACAGCAGGATGCACAGCTAATTCTTGCATGCTAGATTAAGTTAAAACAAGAACAGGAATCAACACAAAGTGCAACAAAACCAAAACCAGACCAATACTGAAGTGCAGAGAAAGTGTTTACTGTTTTCTTGATGAACAGATGCATACTTTTACCAGTCAAGAAAGAGATGTTTCAGGATATATTTTGTCATTATTCAATATTAAATTGTTCCTGTATAAAGAAAATTCAAATATTTATTTTTTTGGGAAAGTTTTGAAATATCCCTACTGTCATCCACAGACCAATTTAACAGTTAACACTTGCTAAGCACAGTTATGGTTTCCTAATTCTTTATCCCAGCACTGGCTCTAAAGCAAGACCAAGTTCTTGGGAGGGAACCATTCCAAATTACATCAGCTGGCAACATGTCCTCAGAGAGCATCTGTCAGCTACAGGGAGCTGGCTCACCCTCTGGCTACTCCTCCAGTACAACCCTCCAAATTTCAAATCTCTACCACTTCTCCTTCCATGGAGAATTAAAAGGAGAGGGAATTAAAAGGAGTCTTTATTCTTTTTACAATAGTTAAGAGAAAACCCAATCTCCACTGACCAAGATATTTTATAAAGTCTAATAATTCTCACAAAAATAAGAAAAATATAATCACAATCCATTCGTACTTGCTGTGTTGCACAAATGACCCGGGAGACGTGCACGCTATTTTTCGGTTGCAAAGTGTAAATGATAAACAGAGAATTGACTTACCGGGCCAAAAGCATTGCTGTCAAAGCTGTGTCCATGGTGGTCACCTTCCACCCAAATATGCCCATGTGGAACTTTCACATACTTCTTTTTGTATCCAATGGTTCTAAAAAGAATTGCAAAAATGGCTAATCAGTTAATAAGGAAAAAAAAATTGTTAGGAAAATTCACATATTTTTTTGTTTTGAATTTGACCATCCAACACCTGCTTAAAAAAACCTGTGCTGAAGTCCTTTAGACTTCAAGAGTGTTACTCAAATGAAAATACATAAAAATTTTGTGTGAGCTAGTTGCATTATCAGGGCCTGTTTACTATGCTGTTTTGTCAGAAATCACATTGCAACAGGGAACAAAAGACTTTTCAAGTAAATATAATTAAGAGATTCTTATTTCCATCTCTGTAGTAACAATTCATTGAAACATTAGATTTTATCTCAGGTAAATGCAGTGGACACCTGTTGCAGTCACACAAAGGTATTGCACTGAGAATGCTTTTCTTCAGGGGTAGGATTAGGTACTCATCAAAAATAGGTTGCCATATCTGAACTGGCCTCAGATTTGGAGCTTGGATTCCTGTAAGGCTTCTGTCCTGGGGGTAGGACGTCTTCTGCTGTAACAAGCTAAACAGGATAAATTAAAAGCAAACCTCTAAGCAAAGGCCAAGTGCTGCAAAAAAATTACATTGATGGCTCAAGCCATTCTCCACAGAAACTAATACCGAAGCAGTGCCTTAGCATGCCCTGACATTACAAAAATGACAAACTGCAGATGAGTCCTAAAGCTGAGGTTCAGAGTGTGTAAAATTCCTGTATTTATTTCCCAAGTAGCTGTCATTTTCACAATTCCAGTCTGCTTTCTACCGTACACTTTTGCTTTCTTTCAGATGGTATGTGTTATTCTGCAATCATTCATGCAGAGAGCTGTTTTTATCGTGCACACTGAATTATTACCATGATGAAGCATTCGTAGATGGGACTATAGCTAGTGATACCTCTTATTTTGTTTTGGATAACCAAGTCTGTGCATAGACAGAAATAGACTTTTGATCTAACTTGTTGCCTCCAGCTGCTCATCACTTTTCACCATCTGGAAAACGTGCTCCAAAAGCAGGAGGCAGAAGAAGTACACTCTAAAACTAAAGAAAATCAGCTGAAGAAAACCAACAACAACAACAGCAACAGCACTGATCAGGGATGTTTACAGGTCAAAATGGGAAAACTGTTTCAGATGAGGTTTGTTTGGCTTGGGGGGTGTGGGGGTGTGAGGATGTTATAAGGACCAGCTAATTAATAACCTGAAGACATGAAACATTAGATCAATAAGGAATCCTCAAAAGTGCATTTTATTTACTTTATTTGACTCAGTGAAATAAAATTAATAATTATTTACTTTGCAAGTCACAAAATCCAACCAGTGTTTTTTCAGAGACTCAGAGGCAGCTGAAAGGATGAGGGTGTCAGAACTGTATTCTAATGCAAGTTCTACCTGTGCTTTCATCAGCAGCTGAAAAAATAATAGCCTATTTGCAGAAAAGAAGACTCTGATTTTCATCTTTCTTTAGAATTGTTTTGTATTAGACAGCATTCAAGTCTGAGTTACTAAACCATTCAAAACAAAAATTCAAAACTGTCCTGGGTTTGTAAATACATGATTTCTTAAATACAAAGAGTGGTTCTGTAGTGACTTAATTATACTAAAAGAGCAATTCATTAGTATGCAATTCCTTCCTCTTTTTTTTTTTTTTTTTTTAAGAAATACAGCATACAGTCTGGACAATGAAATTATTTCTGTTTTGAGATTCCATAATGCTTTGTCTCACTGATAATTTATTTTACAAAGTACCATATGAGATTATATTTTACTAGAAACATGTTTTAAAATATAGTTTCAGAGAAGCTGGGCAGTAATTCTGTTCTGTCTGATTACAGTCTGAAAATTATTAAATTAATATCTTCCATCAGTGATAAAGGCGAACAATAGCTCAAAAAATATTTAATTTTCTCTTTTATTCATCTTCCTGAATATAGAAGAGTAGATTGTCATACAGCTTTGTACCTTTACAGACTTCAGGCACAAGACTGAATTTCACCCAGAAGGGTGAAAGGATTTGAAAGTTAATCCTGCTGACATGTTTACCTCATAAACGTCACGAAAATAATATGGCAAATGCCAGTCAGTGACTTCACCTCAGACCAGACACAATCTCCTACCCCTAAATAATGTTCTCCTTTATTATGATTAGAAAATCACTAACAGAAAGAAAAAAAAAATAAAAAGAAAAAAAGTTTTTGCTATAAGTACTAAGTACTTGGAAAAAAAAAAAAAATGAAAGAATTTTACCTGCATAGATAGGTTTTGTAGAGGTTTGAAGAGAACCCACGAAAACAGAAATTCTTAACACAGGTGTATAGTGTGTTCTTTAAGGCCTAAAGCAAAAAGAAAAAGCTGCAGGCTACAGTAATTAACATTGGTAATTTTATTATTTCTACAAAATAGAAAAATCTATGTTTATTTTCTGCTCTTGAAATAACCATCATAAACCAGAAAAATTTGCTACAATTATGCAAAAAAGTCTTTTACAGTGACAGAAGAATTACGTACAAATTCTCTTTTTGAAGAAAAGCAGATGATTGTACACAAGAAGTTTTGACTTAGAGGAAACAGAACTAAAACTGATGATGTTAATAAATAAATGTATTAAGAGAATATGGGAGAGAAAGAAAATGGAAAAGAAACAGGAGCAGCAGTTCTAATCATCTACTTTAGCAGACAGGACTGATACTGCATGGATAAGTCCCTCTGTAAGCTCAGCAGATAAATGTAAAACCTTCTGCCATTTCATGTATGAGGTATACAAATCATCAGATTTTTCCCACATGTAGGTCCAACAGAAAAAAAAAAAACAAACCCAAGCTATACCGTAAACGATAAGCACCTGTATACCCGTGAATGAAAGAGAGGCAAGAAAATGTATTTTTCTAAGACAATTCCTTCAAAATGTTAATGTAGTATTTTCATAGGACCGTTATCTAGGGACTTTGTATCCACTTTATCAATCCTCCTTAAAAAAAACTGTCCTGTGGAACATAGGTGAAATTTGAAAACAAAGTTTACTTGAAGTTTTCACTGTGTGAATTAGTAACAAACTGCAGCAATAAGCTCGTGTTACAGTAAATTGGATCATCCATTACTTAATATAGGTTTTAATTTCCAAGATTATTTCATTGTTGAATTACTCCACAACAGATCAATAAACCATGTATGCAAGCAAGCCAGACTACAGGCTTCAGAAAGCCATATTCAGTTAATGACAGCAGGTTATTTTTGATTATTGTTGCACATACTATGTTTATTTTTTTAAGAACAAAAAACCCCAAATTAGTAGCTTGCTCTCCTATGAAGAGAGCACAAATTGTTTCATAACCAAAATTCGCTGGTTAGTAACACTGCCCCTCTCTCATGTGAATCTTGTAGAAATTAATCACTTCAATCCTGGCCTAATTCGCAAGGAAGAGACCACGTGTGTGTGCTACTTTGGCAATACGACTCTTGCTTTACATGTACAAACCACCTTTCATTCATTTCACTAGCTAACCATCTTAGCTAGAATGCTGAAAGACAATTATCACCCATCTTTTTGTGCAATCCTGCAAAGCCAAATCACTAACACAAATTGTACAAAAAATTCTGAGAAAATTAAGAAGTGTTGACTCCACCCTTTTTCTTAAGGAGAGCTTTGCAGGCAACTGCCACCCACTTTTCAGATTCAGGACCATGTAAATAACTAACAACTACAATGATCAATATTTTTGTGAAAAATTTATACAATATGACTCTGGAATGCTTCTAGCACTCTTCAACAACAACAGCAGCAACAAAACATCAAGACAAAAATCAATTAAAAGCACAATTAGCTCATCGGGAATTTTACATCAACTCCTTGTGAGAGGTCCTTGCTACAAAATAAATGCAGTCAGTAATGTACTGCGTATTTTGAAAGTAATGTAAAAAGTTATTTTCTTTCTTAGTTGAGTATTCTTACTTCAGTATTCTTAGTCTCATTTCTCCTACTTTGCCTGTAATCTTGTCCTCATTGTTAGCTCTCACACATGAAGTATTTAATTAAATTTAGAAGATGTCTGAATGAATTCATAGGAGAAAAATTGGTATAAGTAATAATTAACTTAGTATTTGTTAATTTCATATCCAGTTCATTATCATGAGTTATAATTACTGAACAATCTTTTAAATTTCAGAAAACCTCTAGTAATAAAGAGTAGTCTTTCACTTTTGAAAATCTATTGTCCTTGAAATAAAACTAAATTAAGACTGTTTAACAACTCATAGCCTTCCCATTTGAAAGGTTTGCTTTAGGAATAGCAGAGGCAAAGACATTAAAATACCCAGATTTTGATACATAGTACTCAAGCATCTTTTAAAAAACCACAGAATCACATAATCACAGAATGTTAGAGATTGGAAGGGACCTCGAAAGATCATCTAGTCCAATCGCCCTGCCGGAGCAGGAACACCTAGATCAGATCACACAGGAACGCATCCAGGTGGGCTTTGAATGTCTCCAGAGGAGACTCCACAGCCTCCCTGGGCAGCCTGTTCCAGCGCTCTGCCATCCTCACTGTAACGAAGCTTTTTCTCATATTCAAGTGGACCTCCTATAACCATACTGGTATGTGCAAAAAAATACTTCAGGTTTTACCAAATTCTTTGACAAGCTACTAATAAATACCTATGCTATTGTTGCTCAAACTGTAGTTAACTCTCACTGTCTTAGGAACAGAGTCTACAAGAGATACAGTAATTTTCTTGATCTGAATGTAATACAATTGTGTTTATCTTTTTAGTAATTTTTATAGAAATTGGTCTGTAATTCTGATTTTTTTTTTTACATGTAAATGTAAAAAGTATACTGAAGTACATTTTGAACCTTCGCAAAGTTTTTTTCTCCACAATTTAATAGTTAACAGATGTACTTATATCTATCCTTGGCTGAGAAATAATTTCAATCCTGACAGTCAAAAATTAGCTCTATATGGTATTCTAACCACCTGCCCACAAGCAAGAAAAATCTGCTTTTTTTACGATGTG